CTTGTTGCTGGTGTGCTTGGGTGCCTCCAGCCGCCGTTGGCTTTTGCTGCAAGGCGGCCTGCTGAGTCACCAGCTGCTGTGGATGCAGGGCTGTGGCCAGCTGCTGTTGCTGCTGTTGCTGGTAGAAGTTCTGCATCAGCTGCTGTTGAGAGCCTTGGGAAACTACAGGGAACTGAGCAATTGCTGGTTGCTGGGCTGCTGTATGTACTGCCTGAAACTGGGAGGAGAAAGTGGCGAAAAATAAGGTGAATATAAGCCTGTCCCAGAAGCACACTCACAAAAGATGAATGGCTCAAGAACAACAAAGGTCAGTGCTGAAGCCAAAGCCAGGGGTAGAAAGAAGTCCTCTAGCTGGGCCTGTAAACTCATGATAGGAAGCTCAGGGTGTTTAAGTAAACATGGCAGCACTTACACTGCCAGGCTTGACCCACTGTATTCTGCTGCTGCCTACACTACAGACTGGCCTCCTGAGTGGGTTTCTAGGCCTAGACGGAGGGAAGCTATTTGACCCAATACCATGTGACTTCATAAACTGGAGTATAACAGACACTAATAAATGGTTTCCCAATCACAGAAGTAATCCTCTTTTAAAGAGATTTGAAGTAGCCAAGATTAAAATACTTCCCTGCATGAAGAGGATGAAAGAACGATGACATTGAAAAGAATAACCTAAATGTCAACCCAGGTATGAAGACTCAAATCAAGCCTTTCTGAAAACTGCTTTCCAATAGCTCTATCTTTATTAAATTCTGCCCATCTTTCAACAATCAAAATATTCAGTATACTCTAAATACTTCTTATATTTATCTTTCTAATCTCCACTGCTAGAAACTACATGCTGGACAAATAAAGAGGGCTCAAAATAAGGGCCTGGAGATAAACAAAATCAAGATCTTGTCTTTAAACTCCTAAATACTATTACTGAGTTACACAGTTAATTGGGAAGCTATTATCTGTCTACTCAGGAAAAGAAGCAGATGTTAAAAAATAGCTGCCTATTTGTAATAGCAAAATGTGCAAACTACTCAAATGTCTATTAACAGGAGACTGACCAAATAAATTAGGCTATATCCTGAAGAATATATCAAAAGGAACACTCAAAATCTGAACAGGAATGAGGGATAACTACACATGAATTGGAGGGGATAGGATTTTACGGATTTAACTTTGAAACTATGTAAAGGTTTTACATATTAATAAGACAAAATTAGGACCAGCCCATGGCCTGGTGGTTAGGACAGCTGGGTTCCACATGGCTATGTGTGGTTTAACTCTTGGATCCAGTGTCTTAAAAAACACACCAGGTGTATGTACGTGTGTGCCTAAAATCCTGAAGAAAGAGAAATGGAGGACAGGATATTGTGGAGTGACCATTCTCCATGGGGAATGCTTTCTCTTCTCCCTCATATCACTCTAGCAAGTACCGCACCCTCTGACAAAATAGAAATAAACAAATAAATAAAAATTAAGCCAAAATTAGAAAAGTGATCATTAAAAAGCAAAAGCAAAATGAAGTGAATAAGCCTGTTTATCACATAGACAGCTCAATTCTCCAGAAATTAATGTGCTAAACATTCTAACGATAAAAAAGGGGAAAGAAATCTTAAGTTGTTTTCAGTAATCATATTGGTAACTATATTTTATCTTGAAACTATAATAAATTAATTAATTATGTTAATACTGTCAGGATTCAAGATTTCAGATAGGAAAAATATAACAAATCTGAGCAGTTAAGCAAAAAATCTTGTAATTACAAATTGGACTCAGGAATATAAATCTGAATTCATATTATATATTTTCTAATAAAACAAGCTGTCTAACTGTCCACAGAAAAGGACAGAAACCACCACCAACCCATTAGCAAGTGGGTGTCTCTAACACTCAAACTGTAGTTTCCAAGTAACACCTCCATTAGAAAGAAAGAGAGCTGCTTGGAGAAACAGGTGGTTCTAGGCAGAGGGCAGAATGATGCTGGAATAGCCTGTTAGCCTAGGTAGCACAGAAACACCACTGAAGACTGATTCCCAAGTCACACCCAAAGGACCCAGGAGCCTATATGAAGAGAGCTCCACTGACTACTGAGCACCAAAATAAACCAATTACAAAAAACTACAATATATTGAAAAATATTAAATGTCAAAATCCACAATTTGATAATGACAGCAAACCACACAAAACAAAAACCTCACTGTTTACTTTTGGATGATTCTAGGGAACAAATGAATGTTTCTGAAAACTAGTAAACAAAGGGAAGAATCAAGCATTTTTTTCTTGACGTGTCCAAACAGTATTTTGGAGTAACTAAATAGTTGGTGAAACAAGTTTTATTTTTTTTCTTTTTTTGGAGAGGTTTTTGCTATAGGGCTCGTGCGCTTGCCAGAAAGACAGAGAGAGACAGAGAGACAGAAAGTTAGGATGGCCACACCACAATCCCTTCTCCTCCATTCTCCTCTCAGGATCTTGGGCACGCATGCACACACGCCCAGCGTGAGTTTAAGCCACCGGGTCCAGAACTTCAGCGACATAGCCATTACATTAACTGCTGGTCCCGAAACGAGTTTTCCAAAGAAACATTCTAAGCCCCAAATGAAGAGAGAATGCTGGAGTATGATTTTACAATCCCTAATGAATTAATGGACTTGGAAATGATTAGCAATGGCTGCTAAAGTAATGGGGAACATTGAACGGATCAGACAACATCATAGTACACCGATTGACTTTAATATTAATAAAAAAGAGGACAATTAGACATTATAGGGCCCCTGATCTGATGCAACAGAAAGAATAAAAACTTTCAAACTAAATAGACTACTAAGAGGCTGGCAGGTGGCATGGTGGTTAAGGGCACAGGACTCCCACGTGGCCGACTACAGTTCAAGCCCTGGACCTGTTGGCTTGCTTTCTCACTTTCCCTCTATCTCTCTCTTTCTGTCCCTTTCTGGTGAAATTAAAAATAAGCGAATAAATAGTTAAATAATTATAAAAAAAAATAGACTTCTGAGCCTCAAGAAATCAGTAGTTTACATAGAGGATGAAGGACTATATTAAATGACTTCAAAAGGGTGCAATTAGCCAAGTCCAGAATGTAGAAAACTCTATGAGACAAGTAAACCCAGCTGTTTCTTTTTCTTTTTCTTTTTTTAAAGTTTTTGCCATAGGGCACATACACTTGCAGCAGAGGAGAGAGACAAAGAGAGGGAAAGTGAGAAATCATCCCCCAGAATCCTCCATTCTCCTCCTGGGATTTTGGGCATGAGTTTCAAACCACCAAATATGGTACTTTAACTACAGTTGGCCATGTGGGAGTTCAGTGCCTTAATCATTATGCCCGCTGCTGGCCCCAGGTGCCACTGTGCAAGGCTGGGGCCACATGAGAGGCCCAGCTTCAGTTCTCAGACCAACCTAAAAGGCATAGTGATGCATGCCTGTAATCATAGCTAACTTGGAGGCTGGGGCAAGAGGAGGGTGCCATGGTGAAACTCTGTCAAAAATACTTCTCTCCAGCCAGCAGATGGCATGGAGGCTAAGGTGCTAGATCCCACATGGCCGACCATGGTTCAGGTCTTGGATCTAGCAGCTTGAAAATGACACCAGGTACATGTGCATGCACGCCCAATATCTGAAGAAGAAAGTGGAAGAGAAAGATCTGTAGTGTGGCCATCTTGCTGGGGGTGGGGGTGATTTCTCACTTTTCACTCTCTCCCCTGCCTGGGTGCATGCACATACCCTGTGGCTAAAAAACAAAAACAAACCAAAAAAAAAAAAAAAAAAGAAAGGGTGTAAAAAATATATACAAAACAATAATATAAAACGATATATACTAACTAAAAGTAATACATAGACTTTGTTTGGATCTTGGTTCAACCAATCCAACTTAAGTGACAAGACATCACTGGTTGGTAAACACAACCCAGTCAAGGCAGCACACGTTGGATGATGCTGCTACTTGGTAGGCTGAAGCCACATGGGAGGCCTGGATTCATTTCCCAGCCCACCCCAAAAGCCAGGCAATGCGGTGAGCAACTGCAGTCCTTACTCAAGAGGCTGAGGAAGGAAGATTGCAATGTAATGAAAACTCTTTTTTTTTTTTTAAGTTAAATACTATTGGATATTTGATGAAGATTTTTAAAATATAATAACTGCTGTCAGAAAAAAAAAAAAAAAAACAAGAAAAAAGAATCCTTAAAAAATAGCTCTCTTAGGGCCAGCTGGTAGCCTGGTGGTTAAGGTGGTTGGAACCCAAATGGCTGATTGTGCCATCCTGAACCCAATGATTTGAGAAACACAACAGGCACATGTAAATGTGTGCCCAAAATCCTGAGAGGAGAATGGAGAAGGGACTGCAGTGTGTCCATTCCCCTAGAGGGTGTTTTCTTATTTTTTCTCTTTCTATCTCTGTCTCTCCAGCAAGTTAAAAAAAAATCCTATAGCAAGTTAAACACACACACACACACACACACACACACACACACACACACGGGCTAACAGACGGCATAGTGGTTACATTGCTGGACTCCCAAATGGCTGACCGCAGTTTGAGTCCTGGACCCAATGGCTTGAAACTCATGCTGGGAGCGTGTGTATGTGTGCACCCAAGATCCCAGGAGGAGGATGGAGGAGAAGGGATTGCAGTGTGACCATCACCCCTGGGCAGGGGGTAATTTCTCACTTTCCCTCTCATTGTCTCTGTTTCCAGGCCCCTCCCCCCAAAGCGCATGAAGCCTGAGGCAAAAACCTCTAAACCAAACAAACAAACATAGCTCTCTCACTAAGGTTCCTCAATTGGTTAATGAGATCCTCATGACCTGAGAAGAAAGGTGAAAAGGGTGCAAGTGAAGATCAACTTTTCAGAGCTTTAGTGTCTACATCTCCAGGAAACATGATGCAGTGGTTAGTGGCTCTCAGTCTTCCCAGCGTTTCCAAAGGAAGACACCTGTACCCAATGGGCCTTTACACAGTCATGGCTTAGAAAGCAAACCAAGGCCCGGACTCTGA